AATTTGGCCACATACTTCGCTACATTAGTGTCTGCACAGTCCACCCAGTGCCCTAACACAATCCTTTCAACAGAGAACATCCCTCTTTTGACCAAAATATATTCAGGCTCCTGAACCATCCTCCAGGATTGTCTGTGGATGCTTTTCTAAAATCCCAGTTTAAGCAAGAATTCTAAGCCAGTTCAGTAAGTATTTCTACCATTGATAATTGATCACCCCTGAAAAATCTGATCAAAATTGCTTACTTCCCACCACTGGTATCTGATCATGCTGGGCTGTCTTCACCAAGAAATCTATTAGCAAGAAATCTATTCTGGTTCAGCCAGAATCCCTCCCAAACCTAATGTCTCCTATCAAAAATTTGCCAGCCCAGAAACACACTACTTCTTGGCTGTGAATCCCTACTCGTATCTGGTGAATTGTGAGTGAAACCCAGTTACATGATGGGGTATCTTTTCCTCTATTGCCACAGTCCTGAATAAAATTTGTCTTCACCACTAAAACCTATGTCTGTCTCTGATTTTCTTAGACACAATTCCCTCAACAGATTGCTGCTCATTCAGAAAGGTCCTTCAGAATTCCCCTAGATTCCCATAAGTCCTATAATAATCAACTTGGAAACTGGCCACTATTGTAGACTTCAGATTAGCCCATGAGTTTTCTTCAAAGAATTCGATTTTATTTTTTTTAATTAAGTAATTTATTTTTATTTTGTCTGTGCTAGGTCTTCATTGCTGTGTGTGCTTTCTGAGGTTGGGGTGAATGGGAGATACTCTTCATTGTGGTGCTCAGATGTCTCATTGTGGTGGCTTCTCTTGTCTTGGAGCACAGGCTCTAGGGTGCACAGGCTTCAGTAGTTGTGTCCCATGGGCTCAGCAGTTGTAGTTCAAGGGCTCTAGGGCACAAACTCTGCAGTTGTGGCTCTTGGGCTAAGTTGCCCTGTGAATATCATGTGAGATCTTCCTGGACCAGGAATCAAATCAGTAATCCTGTACTGCAAGGTGGATTCTTAACCACTGGACCACCAGTGAAACCCTAGATTATTTTTTTTTAATGTTTTTGAAGTATAATTGAATTACAATGTTGTGTTTAATTTCTACTGTCCAGAAAAGCGATTCAGTTTTATATATATATATATATATATAGTTTCATATTTTTTTCCATTATGTTTATCACAGGATAATATAGTAAGACCTTGATGTTTATACATCCTATATATAATAGTTTGCATCTACCAATCCCAAACTCCCAGTTCTTCCCTCCCTCACACTCCTCACCTTCGGCAACTTTAAGTCTACTGGTTCTCTTAAATTTGTGACTTGTTTTGTGAAAAATTGAAATTGAAAGTCACTCAGTCATGTCCAACTCTTTGTGACCCTATGGGCTATATAGTCCATGGAATTCTCCAGGCCAGAATACTGGAGTGGATAGCCTTTCCCTTCTCCAGAGGATCTTCCCCACCCAGGGGTTGAACCCAGGTCTCCCACATTGTGTGCGGATTCTTTACCAGCTGAGCCACAAGGAAAGCCCAAGAATACTGGAGTGGGTAGCCTATCCCTTCTCCAGTGGATCTTCCTGACTCAGGAACTGAACTGGGATCTCCTGCATTGTGTCATGTTTTATACTCCACATATAAGTGATATTGTACAGTATTTGTCTTTCTTGTTCTGATTTACTTCACTTAGTATGGTAATCTCTATGTCCATCCACTTTGCTGCAAATAACATTGTTTCATTATTTTTAATAGCTGGGTAATATTCCATTGTATGTATGTGTGTGTGTATATATATATTTTATTCATTCTTCTGTCGATGGACATTTAGGTTCTTTCCATGTCTTGGTTATTGTATACAATGATGCTGTGAATATAGGGGTGCACATAACTTTTTTACTATTAGTTTGTCTGGGTATTTGCCTGGGAGTGGGGATTGCTGGACCAGATAGCAAGTCTATCATTAGTTTTTGGAGGAACCTGCATACTGTTTTCCAAAGTGGCTGCACCAATTTATATTCCCATCAATAGTATAAGAGGCTTCCCTTTTCTTCACACACTCACTAGCATGTATTAAGTAGATTAAAAGTCCCTTTCGTTTATCTCAGGACTGGAGGTGCTGACCGCAAGGGAATGAAAGGTGAGCCTCTTGCTCCTTTCGGATCTTGCTCCTTTCGGATCCAATGCTCCTTTCGGATCTCATGGAAGCTGTAATCCTATAGGAACATCCCAAGCTTAAACTTCTCAAATTCCACATTTCTGCTAACATCAAATGAAGTCTCTCAGACAATCCTTTCCAATGTTTAGGCTTCCCGGCAGCTTGGGAGAGTCCTTCTGATCCCATCAGCTAATTATTCTCTGCACAGAAATGGGTAGATTACTTAGCAGTGACATTGGCTCACTAGCCTAGAATGCGGAAAATCTGAGTAATATTTAGGTTTTCCCTGAAGGTTATCTGAAGTAGTACAGAAAAAGTGCCCACATGGTGGCCCACTCAATTTGTATTCCATAACAGAAATGTTTATGCTTATCATTGTTACTAATAAAAGGGACTGGTGGCCGGGACTTTAAAACATCTATTGAGTAGAATCCAGTTAAACCCTTTCTTATGCAAAGGCTATTTACCATGGCAGAAATGTGGTGAAAAGCATCTTGCCCAAAGTGGCCAAGAAGGGGAACACCCTTCAAAGAGTCTTCACCTTAGTGGCCAGTAGTATATAAGAATTGTTTGGGCATCAAGTAAAGTGGGTGGGAGAGAGGCATGGAAAATTCTTGGAGATAGCAGAAAGGGTCTCCCTTTATGTGTGATCTTAAACTTCAAAGGAGTTTTTCTCTGATGCAGCCTAAAGTGGGAGTCATCCCTGAATTGGTAGAATGTTAAACATTAATAAGAGCTTCTGTATTTAGTGTAGGAAAGGCGCTAGTATTTCTGACAAGAAAAATAGAACTTTATTTCTGTACCTCATGGGATTACCTTGATCAGAATTTGTGTTGAACTTAGCAAAGTTTGAAGTTTGAGGAAACAGTAATTATGTAAATTCACTTGGAAAGGGGCCAATAAAATTACGTTTGGCTTATAAGAACCCTGAAAAATAGTTGGGGAAATTTACCCTCTGGAAAATGTTCTCAGTGAGAAAAATTAACAAACAAACAAGCAAACCTCTCCTGGTAGCAGCTGCCTCTGGATGGCAAGGTTATTTGGGAATGACCTGGGTTTATTTCTTCTCTGACTCCAAATTCCCAAAGAGCCCACAGCACCCACCTTCAGTGCCTCTCAGTCTTGGAAAATAAGCCTTGATCACAGGATTCACACTTCATCCTCGTCTCACATCTTAGTTTTAATCTTCTTCTGCAGTTTGTTGTGCTGAGCCCAGCTTTCTGAAGAAAAAACAAAACAAAACAGTAAGGTGACACTGTCTCTTCTGATCCACTCTTTTTTACTATCTCTTTTAAATTTTATATTTTATTTTTCGTTGTGCTAGGTTTGTTGCTGAGTGAGCATTTCTCTAGTTGAGGCGAGTGGGGGCTACCCTTTAGTTGAGGTACACGGGCTTCTCACTGCTATGCCCTTTTGTGTTGTAGAGCATGGGCTCCAGAGAGCATCGGTTTCAGCACTTTCAGTTTCCAGTTCAGTTCAGTTCAGTTCAGGCGCTCAGTCGTGTCTGACTCTTTGCGACCCCATGGACTGCAGCATGCCAGGCTTCCCTGTCCACCAGGAACTCCCACAGCTTGCTCAAACTCACGTCCATTGAGTTGGTGACACCATCCAACCATCTCATCCTCTGTCGTCCCAGGCTTTATGGCAAAGGTTCAGTAGTTGTGGTACATGGGCTTAGTTGCTGCTTGCCTTGTGGTGCCTTCCCCAACCATTGGTCAAAGCCATGTCCCTGCATTGCCATCAGATTCTTTACCATTGAGCCACAGAGAAGCCATCTTTTACTACCTTAATATCACCTAGAATACTGTCTTTGTGAATCAGTGAATGGGTCCTTGATTATCCAGCAACCTCTGTCTCCTGAATGTGTATCGGATTCAATCAACTAACCTACAGAAATGTGATGATCCAATTGGCACTAGGTAATCTAATCAGGTGTCCTTTACTGATTGGCTTAGTAGTGGGACAGAGGGATGATGGGAATAGAAAGGTGTTTAAAAGTCTGAAGCACTGGAAAAGAGATGCAGAATCTTCCTGCTCTAGAGATACCAACTGGGTTCTCCACAGCATCTGAGATCTGAGCGCCCCACCAGCCCCACCAGAGCAGTAAGTTACTGTCCTCATGAGGACACCCTTTTTTACCCATGATTAAGTCTTGAAGGGTGGCATGTATCTCTGGATGCAGTGAGAGCTTTCAAAAAATTGTTTCTCTCACATGAACACATTTCATGTTTTAGTTTTGCCTAGCAGTGTAGTTTTGCCTCAATCTCAAGCATTTTGATTTGGGCTTTAGTTGATATCAATTTAAAAGGACTTTACAAAGGAGATATTTTTAATGAAAAGCATCCATTTTGGAATTTTATTTAATGAAATTTAAATTAAATATTTTGAACACAATGGTATTCATGTTAGAGGTAACTCAGGTTGGAGGCCTTGCTAGTCCACATGACTCTCGCTAATGTAGGGCTCAAAGAGATTATTTGAAACTCTTCCCCAAATAAAGTTTGGAGTGAACTCTCGGGCTTCTTGATATCCACTTGCTATTGGGACCTGAATCATGCAAAGCAATGGATGTTACTAAACAGGCTAGTGACTGTCTTTTTTCTTCATTGGTACTTGTGAGAGGTTTGTTCTGAAACCAGTAGGGAAAGAGTTATAGCTTTGTGCCCATTGAGGCCAGAGTGTCACATGGGCTGACTGAGGCATTTCCACCCCTGCCAGACCAGTGACCCTGGCTCTGAGAAGGTTCTTCTGAAAGGGTGGGAGAATGTCTTAGGTGTGCTTCTGCTTGGCCTGAGTGGATGCCTTGTGCCCTGGCAGTTTCTACAGGATTCCTTTTCTTGTAGAGTCAAGATGAGTGTCCGGAACCCATCCAGACTCCTGGACCTGGCAGGAAAGCACCTGCTGAGGGATGATGCTTTGGCCTTTTCTGTTCTGGAGGATCTGCCCACAGAGCTCTTCCCACCCCTCTTCATGGAGGCATTCCACAGGAGACACATCAAGACCCTGAAGGCCATGGTGCAAGCCTGGCCCTTTGTCCGCCTGCCTCTGGGAGGCTTGATTGACATGCCTCATATGGGGCCTTTACAAGCAGTGCTGGAAGCACTTGATGGTTTGCTGACCCAGAAGGTTCGTTCCAGGTGAGTGTGTTTAAGGCACCTTGATAAAATCTTGGATGTCCCAGAGGAGATAGGTGGGTTGAAAACAGGTGGGTGGAAAGGGTTCTGAAAATGGTAATGCAGAAAACTTGTTGCTAAAGGAAGTACCTTCTGGAAGTTGAAGAGTGCCTGTAGTGAATGGGAGCCTAGAAGAACATTTCCCACCTCCTCAAAGAGCCTTGATATACTAAAGATACTAAAGTTGAGAACCAGAAAGGATAAAAGGGGAAGGGGCATGGAGGACAGTGAGGCAGAGAGGGTAGTGAACAAGGCAGCAGAGGATGTCAGAAATGTTAAGTTACAGCACAGGTGGGCAGGATGTTGTCAAATTGTAAGGCTGTTTTTTTTATTTTGTGTGGATTTTGATACATCCTCATCAGTTTCCTTGTTCCTCTAGGAGGTGCAAACTGCGGGTGCTAGATTTACGGAATACTGGCCAGAACTTCTGGAGCATGTGGTCTGGAGCCAGCAGTTATGAGTGCTCAAGCTCAAGAATGACACCAGTGGCTGAGCAGGGCTCAATGGCAAAGCAGCACTTGGCTCCACTGAAGATTTTTATAGACCTTTGCCTAAAGAAAAGGACCCTAGATAACTTTCTCACCTACCTTCTTAGGTGGGTGGAGCAGAGAAAAGCCTCTGTACATCTCTGCTGTAAGAAGCTGAAGATCTCTGCAATGCCAATGGACAATATTGTGAAGGTCCTGAGCATGGTGCAGCTGGACTGTATCCAGGAGGTGCAAGTGAATTGGATTTGGCATCTGTCCACCCTGGCCACATTTGCCTCTCTCCTGGGAAAGATGAGTAACTTGCAGAGACTCCGTCTCTCCCCCATCCACCTGTCTGCCTTCACAGAGCAGGAACAGGATCACCTTGCCCAAATCACCTCTCAGTTCCTGAGGCTTGGTCACCTCCAGGATCTCCATCTGGACTATCCCTCCTTCCTTGAAGGCTGCCTAGACCAGATGCTCAGGTGGGAGTGGACCACTAGCTGGGTAACACTGAACACAACCCTAGAATGTCAAAAGCATTGTCTCCTTTGTTGCACTCTCCTTAAGTGTGATATCCCATAACATGAACTGCAGCAAGCCAGGCCTCCCTGTCCATCACCAACTCCCGGAGTTTACTCAAACTCATGTCCATTGAGTCAGTGATGCCATCAAACCATCTAATTCTCTGCCATCCCATTCTCTTCCCACCTTCAATCTTTCCCAGCATCAGGGTCTTTTCAAATGAGTAAGTTCTTTGTATTATATGGCCAAAGTAATGGAGTTTCAGCTTCAACATCAGTCCTTTCAATGAATATTCAGTACTGATTTCTTTTAGGATGGACTGGTTGGATCTCCTTGGAGTCCAAGGGACTCTCAAGTGTCTTCTCCAACACCACAGTTCAAGAGCATCAATTCTTAGCACTCAGCTTTCTTTATAGTCCAGCTCTCACATCCATACATGACTACTTGAAAAACCATAGCTTTTTTGGCAAAGTAATGTCTTGGCTTTTTAATATGCTGTCTAGGTTGGTCATAACTTTTCTTCCAAGAACCAAAGAGCAAGTGTCTTTTAATTTCATGGCTACAGTCACCATCTGCAGTGATTTTGGAGCCCAAAAAAATAAAGTCTGTCACTGTTTCCACTGTTTCCCCATCTATTTGCCATGAAGTGATGGGACCAGATGCCATGATCTTAGTTTTCTGAATGTTGAGCTTTAAGCCAACTTTTTCACTCTCCTCTTTCACTTTCATCAAGAGGCTTTTTAGTTCCTCTTCACTCTCTGCCATAAGGGTGGTGCCATCTGCATATCTGAGGTTATTAATATTTCTCCCGGCAATCTTGATTCCAGCTTGTTCTTCCAGCCCAGCGTTTCTCATGATGTACTCTGCATAGAAGTTAAATGAGCAGGGTGACAATATACAGCCTTGACATACTCCTTTCCCTATTTGGAACCAGTCTGTTGTTCCATGTCAAGTTCTAACTGTTGCTTCCTGACCTGCATACAGCTTTCTCAAGAGGCAGATCAGGTGGTCTGGTATTCCCATCTCTTTCATAATTTTCCAGTTTGTTGTGATCCACACAGTCAAAGGATTTGGCATAGTCAATAAAGCAGAAGTAGATGTTTTTCTGGAACTCTCTTGCTTTTTCAGTGATCCAACAGATGCTGGCAATTTGAGCTCTGGTTCCTCTGCCTTTTCTAAAACCAGCTTGAACATCTGGAAGTTCACAGTTCATGTATTGCTGAAGCCCAGCTTGGAGAATTTTGAGCATTACTTTACTAGTGTGTGAGACGAGGGTAATTGTGTGGTAGTTTGGGCATTGTTTGGCATTGCCTTTCTTTGGAATTGGAATGAAAACTGACCTTTTCCAGTCCTGTGGCCACTGCTGTGTTTTCCAAATTTGCTGGCATATCACGTGTAGCATTTTCACAGCATCATCTTTTAGGATTTGAAATAGTTCAACTGGAATTCCATCACCTCCACTAGCTTTGTTCATGGTGATGCTTCCTAAGGCCCTCCTGACTTTGCATTCCAGGATGTCTGGTTCTAGGTGAATGATCTCACAATCGTGATTATCTGGGTCATGAAGATCTTTTTTTTTTTTTTTTATGGTTCATTTTATTTATTTTTCCATTTATTTTTATTAGTTGGAGGCTAATTACTTTACAATATTGTAGTGGTTTTTGCCACACATTGGCATGAATCATCCATGGATTTACATGTATTCCCCATCCCAATCCCTCCTCCTGCCTCCCTCTCCATCCCATCCCTCTGGGTCTTCCCAGTGCACCAGCCCTGAGCACCCATCTCATGCATCCAGCCTGGGCTGGTGATCTGTTTCACCCTTGATGGTACACTTGTTTCAATGCTATTCTCTCAGAACATCCCACCCTCGCCTTCTCCCACAGAGTCCAAAAGTCTGTTCTGTACATCTGTGTCTCTTTTTCTGTTTTGCATATAGGGTTATCGTTACCATCTTTTAAAATTCCATATATATGTGTTAGCATACTGTATTGGTCTTTATCTTTCTGGCTTACTTCGCTCTGTATAATGGGCTCCAGTTTCATCCATCTCATTAGAACTGATTCAAATGAATTATTTTTAATGGCTGAGTAATAGTCCATGGTGTATATGTACAACAGCTTCCTTATCCATTCGTCTGCTGATGAGCATCTAGGTTGCTTCCATGTCCTGGCTATTATAAACAGTGCTGTGATGAACATTAGGGTACATGTGTCATGAAGATCTTTTTTGTATAGTTCTTCTGTGTATTCATGCCACGTCTTCTTAATATCTTCTGCTTCTGTTAGGTCCATATAATTTCTGTCCTTTATTGTGCCCAACTTTTCATGAAATGATCCCTTGGTATCCCTGTCTATAAGATTGTGTTTTGTTCTCCAGATACGTTAACTGAACTGTTTGTTAACTGAATTGAGAGAAAAGGATAATAAAAAGTGATAGAAAGTCAGTAGATGATGCAGGGATATAAGTGAGCCCCTCTAGAAGGCAACATAAGTTGGTTCCTTATGTATGTCTCCCTAGGACCTCACTTGGTCAGAGACAGAGGCATATGGAGCCCAAACTTGGACTGAAGGAAGCCTTATATGAAGTTATTTTTAAATCTTATCACCCAACACTAATATTAAGTGATGTCTACACTTGAAAGAGACTCTTCCTGGCTCTCCTCATAGCATATTCTTATGCATTCCAGTATCTTCATTCATCCCCATAAGGAAGTAGAGCATGTTGTACTCTGCTTGATAGATGAGGAGAGAGTGCTCTCTAGATTCTGTGAGGTGACTCAGTCTCACAGTGAAGGTGATAGGACTTAGCCTACAATGAGATGGACAATCAGTGTACTGACCCTCAAGAGCTGGCCTGACTAATGTTAGTTCCATAGAAGCCATTTGTCTATCACCAGTATGCAACCTGGTACTTCAGTTTCCAAGAACTAATTGTTTGGTTTCTCCCCAGGTGCCTGAAGTCCCCCTTGGACAACCTGTCAATAACCAACTGCTGGCTTACAGAATCAGACTTGACCCACCTGTCCCAGAGCCCAAACATCAGTCAGCTAAAGGGCCTAGATCTGAGTGGTGTCACCATGACTGACTTTAATCCTGAGCTCCTCCGCGTTCTGCTAGAGAAAGTTGAAGCCACCCTCCAGGAACTGGACTTAGATCTGTGTGGGATCAATGACTCCCAACTAGAGGCCATCTTGCCTGCCCTGAGCCGCTGCTCCCGGCTCAGGTACTTCAGCCTGTGTGAGAACTTCCTGTCCATGGCTGTTATGGAGAAGCTGCTGCGACACACCACTGGACTGCCCTGCTTAACGCAAGAGCATTATCCTGCCCCTCAGGAGAGTTACAGATCTCAGGGTGTTCTCCTGGAAGTAAGACTTGCCCAGCTTCCGGCTCAGCTGTTGGAGATTCTGAGAGACTTAGGATGTCCCAGGGTCATCTGGATTAGTCCCAGCCCCTGTCTTCACTGTGGTGAGAACATATGCTATCATCTGGAGCCCATTATATACAGCTGTACTGCCCCTGCCTAGAGAATTGCCACTATTAAAAGCTTTCTTCTGGGCACTTGGAAACTGAAATCTAGAACATGAGGACATCATGAAGGGAAAAGAGAGCTGTGATTTCAGACATTTTCTCAATGTGAATGGGAAAAAGAAAGGCGATAGTGGAGGGGGGATTCAGTATTGCAGGGGGAAATGTAGACTCTGGAAGGGATGGAACTTTCAGGGACATGGACTTCTAGAATCTGAAATATGAACCTAGGTGAATACATGCTTGAGCCCCACATGTTGCAGTTATCCCTGAGGGAGATGGATGTACAGAAATGGTCAAGAATAAAGATATCTTCCTGGTGACCTAAATAGGAAGGAAATTTAAAATGAGAGTAGATGCATGTATAGATATGATTCACTTTGTTGTATAGCAAGAAACTAATGGGACATTATAAAGCAATCCTACTCCAATAAAAATTAATTAAAAATAAAGAGATGCTTATTGAAAACCAACTGCTGTTCTCCATGATATATTATTACATGTCCTAATTATTTCCAGTTAGTGATTAAAAAAAAAAAAAAGCACTGTGTTGTCCATGATTTAAAACCTTACATTCCTGAAATTTCTTTATTCTGTCTTGGACATCTCTTAGCTCCTTGCTTATTTCTTTGGCTGTTCAGTGGGTTAATACACACAAAGGGGAACATACTCAGTGTCTGGCAAACAACTGGAGTGAAGAGCTCTTTTCAGGGCTTTCACTACTGACTCAGGCCATGACCTTGACATGGGTATTCTTCATACTTCTATCAGTCGGTGTATAAGTTGCAGTTCCTTGTCTTTTTGTGTGCTTCACTGCCACAAACACGGGTCCCCACTTCTGCAAGATGTTTTCCATTCTACCAATAAACGATACTGGTTCTCACCATTACGTGCCTATCATGGGTGGGTAGTGGTCCTTATGGATATAATCAAGTTGTGGCCAGACAAGCAAATTCTTTTTAGAAAAGTATTAAATTAGCAAAAACATTTAACATGGATCTATTATTTGAATACCACATTCAAGAATTATACATTTTTGTTAATTGGTCATATCAGAATACATAATTCCCATCATAAGTCCAGTCCCTCTCTATCAGAAAAATTAAGGATAGCTTGTCTGGACATCAGAACATCCAAATGTATCACAAATGTATGTTATGTATTACATATAACTCTTAGTCAGCTCTCCCTATCCTCAGTTCGTCCTCCTCAGATTCAACCCAACTACATATTGTGTAAAACTAAATTTACTGTTAAAAAAAATCCTCATCTAAGTAACCCTGAGCAGTTCAACCACGTGTTGTTCAGGATTCACCTGGTACATAGACACATACATAGTTTGAGAAGAGGCTGACACTATTACAGAGCCTCAGCAGTCCCACTGTCTGCTATCTGTTGCCTGAAGAACTGGGAAAGGCTGTGATATAATTCGGACCCAGTCTTAAGGTTTAAAAGCAGGGGAAGTGATGATGTACCTCTGAGTCAAGGCTAAAAGCCTGGGAACCAGGGAACCATTTGTGTATGTCCTGTAGTTTCAAGGTTCATGAGCCAGAAGCCCTGGTATTCATGACCTAGAAGAGAGAGAGAGCAGTAGCCCTCATTCCATTCAGGCCCCAGAGGATAAGACAATGCCCAACCACACTGGTGAGGGCTGATCTCTTGACTCTATGTACTGATTTCAATGCTAATCTCTCCCAGGAATAACCTTACAGATTCTCCCAGAATTAATGTTTGACCTGAGATCTGGGCATCTCATCTCACAGTTACATTGACACATAAATTTAACCCTCGCAGTGTGTCTAAACAAAATGCAGCCTAATAAAATGTAGCCAATCTCTGCTAAGGATTCAGTGGTTGCAATTGTTTATTCTGAGGAGGGGGATATAGGGCTGGGAGGACCTTAGGCAGAGCTTTGGTTCCCCCTACAATGAATATAATGATGCACACAGAGTTTATGGGATTTTTAATAGGATCCAGTGAAATATTGCTTGTTGACAGCTTGACTCTGGAGTTGTTGAGCAAGAACTCCATAATGCTTTTTTCTTTTGTTTGCAGTCTTCTCCCTCCTGATGAATAGCATTAAGTCTTCAACCTTTGTATTTACCTCTATTACTCACAATAGGGAGGAAAGCAAAATCCAGAGACAGAAATTTGACTCAAATATTGCATGTGATCACCAATGAATCAGGATTCACCCAAGCTGTTCCAGTAGCCAGTGCAGAGGGGCTGGGGGTGGGAGGGCATAGGAGAGCCTGGACTCATCTCCAGTGATAGACATTCTGAGCCTCAGGTTTTCTAGGCCACCTGCTGGTAGATCAGACCAGAGGATAGAAATCAATTTTGTAATCAGGACTGTATACTCTAGAATTTTTAATAAATCTTGCTATCCTGGGACTTCTCTGTTCCCAACTGAGTTCCCAAATGAACTTCTTTGTTCCACGGTCCCAAAGCAGGGAGCCCGGATTCAATCACTGTCAGGAAACTAGATCTCACATACTGCAGCTCAGTGTTCTCACGCCACAGCTAAAAACCCCTCAGGCTTCCCAGATGATTCAGTGGCAAAGAATCTGCCTGCAAACCCAAGAGACAGAGGAGACACGGGTTCAATCACTGGGTTGGGAAGAACCCCTGGAGAAAGATATGGCAACCCGCTCCAGTATTCTTGTCTGGAAAATTTCAAGGATAGAAGAGCATGGTGGGCTACAGTCCATGGAGCCCCAAGTTTTGGGCACAACCCAGCACCCATACACACACAAACACACACACATACACAGGGACACAAGGGAGATCAAAGATGTTGTAGGCTGGACTAAGACCCGGCACAGCCAAATTATTAAACAAATATTTTTTTTTTAAATGTGCTCTCCTGTAAATGACACTTGAGTATAAATACTTCCACAGTGGTTTATATACAACATTTCTGTAAAGGTTATTGAGGTAATACAGTATTTTGAAGAAATCATGTGGGAAATTTAAAAACATTTTACAGCTGCAAGAAATAAATTAGATTTTAAAACTGATTTTAACCATAAATAAGCAAGAATTTATTCTTTTAAAAAATATGTTCAGTTCAGTTCAGTTCAGTCACTCAGTTGTGTACGATTCGTTGTGACCCCTTGGACCACAACACGCGAGGCCTCCCTGTCCATCACCAACTCCTGGAGTTTACTCAAACTCATGTCCATTGAGTCAGTAATGCCATCCAATCATCTCATACTCTGTCCTCCCCTTTTCCTCCTGCCTTCAGTCTTTCCCAGCATCAGGGTCTTTTTAAATGAGTAAGCTCTTTGCATCAGGTGGCCAAAGTATTGGAGTTTCAGCTTCAACATCAGTCCTTACAATGAACACCCAGGACTGATCTCCTTTGGGATGGACTGGTTGGATCTCCTTGCAGTCCAAGGGACTCTCAAGAGTCTTTTCCAACACCACAGTTCAAAAGCATGAATTTTTCGGTGCTCAGCTTTCTTCACAGTCCAACACTCACATCCATATGACTACTGGAAAAACCATAGCTTTGACTAGATGGACATTTGTTGGCAAAGTAATGTCTCTGCTTTTTAATATGCTGTCTAGGTTGGCCATAACTTTCATTTCAAGGAGTAAGCATCTTTTAATTTCATGGCTGCAATCACCATCTGCAGTGATTTTGGAGCCCAAAAAAATAAAGTCTGTCACTGTTTCCACTGTTTCCCCATCTATTTGCCATGAAGTGATGGGACCGGATGCCATGATCTTAGTTTTCTGAATGTTGAGCTTTAAGCCAACTTTTTACTCTCCTCATTCACTTTCATCAAGAGGCTCTTTAGTCCTTCTTCACTTTCTGCCATAAGGGTGGTGTCATCTGCATATCTGAGGTTATTGATAGTTCTCCCGGCAATCTTGATTCCAGCTTGTGCTTCTTCAAGCCCAGCATTTCTCATGATGTATCCTGCATAGAAGTTAAATAAGCAGGGTGATAATATACATCCTTGACCTACTCCTTTCCCTATTTGGAACCAGTCTGTTGTTCCATGTCCAGTTCTAACTGTTGCTTCCTGACCTGCATACAGGTTTCTCAAAAGGCAGCTCAGGTGTTCTGGTATTCCCATCTCTTTCAGAATTTTCCACAGTTTATTGTGATCCACACAGTCAAAGGCTTTGGCATAGTCGATAAAGCAGAAGTAGATGTTTTTCTGGAACTCTCTTGCTTTTTCAGTGATCCAACAGATGCTGGCAATTTGATCTATGGTTCCTCTGCCTTTTCTAAAACCAGCTTGAACATCTGGAAGTTCACAGTTCATGTATTGCTAAAGCCCGGCTTGGAGAATTTTGAGCATTACTTTACTAGTATGTGAGACGAGGGCAATTGTGTGGTAGTTTGAGCATTCTTTGGCATTGCCTCTCTTTGGGATTGGAATAAAACTGACCTTTTCCAGTCCTGTGGCCACTGCTGAGTTTTCCAAATTTGCTGGCATATTGAGTGCAGCACTTTCACAACATCATCTTTTAGAATTTGAAATAGCTCAACTGGAATTCCATCTCCTCCACTAGCTTTGTTCGTAGTGATGTTTCCTAAGGCCCACTAGACTTCACATTCCAGAATGTCTGGTTCTAGGTGAGTGATCACACCATCATGATTATCTGGGTCATGAAGATCTTTTTTGTACAGTTCTTCTGTGTATTCTTGCCACTTCTTCTTAATATCTTCTGTTTCTGTTAGGTCCATATAATTTCTGTCCTTTATTGAACCCATCTTTGCATGAAATGTTCCCTTGGTGTCTCTAATCTTCTTGAAGAGATCTCTAGTCTTTCCCATTCTATTGTTTTCCTCTCTTTCTTTCCACTGATCACTGAGGAAGGCTTTCTTATCTCTCCTTGCTATTCTTTGGAACTTAGCGTTCAAATGGGCATATCTTTCCTTTCTCCTTTGCTTTTTACTTCTCTTCTTTTCACATATATTTGTAAGATCTCCTCAGACAGCCATTTTGCTTTTTTGTATTTCTTTTTCTTGGGGATGGTCTTGATTCCTGTCTCCTATACAGTGTCATGAACTTCCATCCATAGTTCATCAGACACTCTGCTGTCAGATCTAGTCCCTTAAATCTATTTCTCACTTCCACTGTATAATCGTAAGGGATTTGATTTAGGTCATACCTGAATGGTCTAGTGGTTTTCCCTCCTTTCTTCAATTTAAGCCTGAATTTTAAGTCAAGGCTAAAGGCCTGAGAACCAGAGCGCCAGTTACGTATGGCCTGGAGTTTCCAGGTTCAGGAGCCAGAAACGCCAGTGTTCATGGCCAAGGAGAGAGGGAGAGCAGTAGCCCTTGTTCCATTCAGGCCCCCACAGGGTAAGGCTATGCCCACCCCCACTGGTGAGGGCTGATCTCTTACTCAGTCTACTGATTCCATGCTAATCTCCTCCAGGAATTCCTTTGAAGATTCTCCCAGAATTAGTGTTTGACCTGAGACCTGGACATCTCATCTCAGTGAAGCTGACACATAAATGTAACCTTCACAGTGCCTCTAAACAAAATGCAGCCAAATAAAGTTTCCCTGCTAAGGATTCAGAGGCTGCAATTGTTTATTCTGTGGAGGAAGTGGATATAGGGCTGGGATTACAGACTTAGGCAGAGCTTTGTTTCCCCCACAATGAAGATAATGATGCACACACAGTTTATGGGACTTTTAGTAGGATTCAGTGAGATATTGTTTATTGAGGTCTTGGCTCTGGAGTTGTTGAGCTGCTGCTGTTGCTAAGTTGCTTCAGTCGTGTCCGACTCTGTGCGATCCAATAGACGGCAGCCCACCAGGCTCCCCTGTCCCTGGAATTCTCCAGGCAAGAACACTGGAGTAGGTTGCCATTTCCTTCTCCAATGCATGAAAGTGAGAAGTGAAAGTGAAGTCACTCAGTCGTGTTCGACTCTTCACGACCCCATGGACTGCAGCCCACCAGGCTCCTCCGTCCATGGGATTTTCCAGGCAAGAGTACTGGAGTGTGGGTTGCCATTGCCTTCTCCGAGTTGTTGAGCAAGAGCTCCTTATTATGTAAGACCTCCACAGTGCTTTTCTTCCCCCCAGTCTTCTCCCTCCTAGTGAATAGCCTAAGTCTTTATCCCGCTATTCTCACAACAGGGAAGAAAGCAAAATCCAGGGACTGAAATTGGACTCACATATTACATGTGGTCACCAATGAATCAGGATTCACCTAAGCTGTTCCAGTAGCCGGTGCAGGGGAGCTGGGGGTGAGAGGAAATAAGAGAGACTGGATTCATCTTCAGTGACAGACATTCTGAGCTGTAGGTCTCCTAGGCCACCTGCTGGTTGATCAGACCAGAGGATAGAAATCAATTTTCTAATCAAGACTGTATACTTTAGAATTTTTAATGAATCTTGCTATCCTGGAACCTCCCTGGTGGTCCAGTGGGTATGACTCCATGCTCCCAGTGCAGGGGGCCTGGGTTGAATCACTGGTCAGGGAACTAGACCCCGTATCCTGTAACTAAGTGCTCACATGCCACAAATGAAAGATCCCTCAGGGGTGCCAGGGAGATCAAAGGTCCCTCACACACGATGAAGACCCAGCACAGCCAAATAATCAAAATAATAAATATTTTGAAAAAATTGGACTGTCCTGTAAATGCTACTTGAGTACAAATATTTGCACCGTGACGTAAACCTCCAATCCAGCAGGTGTCGCCATTCCCCAGGATGATTGTGAGGAGCTGGGGGAATGCAAGAAGCAGTCATCTGCCACCCACTAAGGTAAACAAGGAAAGAGGAATTGGTTCCAGAGAGCTGATATACGTATGAAAGAAATGAATTCAGTGGGCCAAGAGGCTTGCATCTTCCTATACATAGAAAGGTGAATTCCCAAACTTGGTATCTGTTTGTTGTTTTTTTAACCTCACAGTAATCTTTGATGTTCAGACTGCCTGCTTCCTTTGTTACAAACTTGTATATAGCCTGACTCCCCCTCCCACCTCCTTAGAGCAGTTTTCTCAAAGTTTCTGAGATACTGTCTCCTGGCTGCTGCTGCGGCTAAGTCGCGTCAGTCGTGTCCGACTCTGTGCGACCCCACTGACAGCAGCCCACCAGGCTCCGCCATCCCTGGAATTCTCCAGGCAAGAACACTGGAGTGGGTTGCCATTTCCTGTCTCCTGGGCTTGGTTTCTAAACACTCCCACCAAATAAAATAACTCTCTACTTTCACATGGTGACTAACATTTTAGTCTATTGTTTTCATCTAACGCCTGGAAGTCAGGTGAGTGGGGACAGGACACTGTGGGTTGGGAAAATGTCTTGGAAGAGCATGTCAAATGACAAGAAATGCACAACCTAAAACATAACAAATATGTTTTATTTGTTGACTTTACAGAAGATTATAACCGGAAAGGTGGCTTCTCAGATTGCTCTGAGGAACTGTTCAAAAATTATAAGGGTGGGAAAAAAGTTATGCGGTGGAGCCAGAGTCCATAATGTAATTTCCTGAAAAAACAAAAAAATTCAGAAAATTTCAAAAGATTATTGCATATGATAAAAATGATACATCTCAAATTAATGATTTTCATGCCTTTTAAAAATTGTTATTTATGTCTATAATTATATTTATTTATTTACTTTTTTTTTCTTTTTTGGCTGTGCTGGTTTTTCCTTGCTGAGGGCAGCCTTTCTCTTGTTGTGGTAAGCAGGGTCTATTCTCTAGTTGAAATGCATTGGCTTCTCATTTTGCTGGCTTCTCTCATTGCAGGGCATGGGCTCCAGGGCCTGTGGGCTTCAGTAGTCATGGGTCCCATGCTCTAGTTGAGTGCTCAGTAGTTGTGGGGCATGGGTTTAGTTGCTTCATGGCACGTGGAATCTTTCCAGACCAGGTATCCAACCTGTATCCCTAGCACCAACAGGTAAATTCTTAACCACTGGACCACCAGTTAAGTTCCTTTTCATGCTTTTTTTATGTATGGAAAGAGGCAAGAGTCTGGCCTTATTGAACTTATCCACATGATATGCATCTTAACTACTACAGAACACCATCTTCTTTTCTCCTCCTTGAATTCCCCTTGGGGCATACTGTCTTAGGAGGGTGGGGGGCTGCAGGGTTAATGGCTTTTTGGCCGCAGCATCCTTTGTTTACTGAAATAGCCAGTGAAATATTTGTTCTCAAGGAAAAGCTTAAGAGAAGACCATAAGGGGAGTGAGTTCAGCCACTCAGTCATTTCTGAGCTCTGATTTCTGAAGTCTGATTGAGGTCTGAGCAGTCCCTCAACCCCATCTGAGCTGGTAAATTATCAGCATTAGCTAACATGTTCTGCCAATGCCAAGCAAGTATTGAGTGGTGAAACAAAGTCTGACATGACAGGAAGAGTTTTCCTGTTTGTTTTCTTTTGGTTAAAAAAATTTCAGACTTTCTTTTGCATCAAAGTATAGCTTTGCCTTCATCCTAAACATTTTGATTTTGACTTTGGCTTATATCATTTAAATGTCTCATCAAGCAGTTTTTCTTGTTAATAAAAGACATATAACTGTTTGAAATTCTATATCTTGACATTTAAAGTTTTTACTCTATGCACAAATGGCATTCCTTTTAAAGGTACCTCCTAAATTCTTCCCAGCAAAGTTAAGTTTGGGAACCACGGATGGAAGCTGTGTTCCACATGAACATCTGTCCCCATAATTTGGGCTGAATGTGACACTTTAAATGTTTTCACCCAAGAGAAAGGGAGTCAACTTGTTCAGTCTCCTGATACAAATGTGCAAGAGGGACATGCATTAAGCAAACAATGGAAGGAAATGGAGGAGCTACTCGATGCCTTTCTTTCTTCTTGGTACTTGTAAGATTCTTGCTCTAGTGCCAGAAGGGGCAGAGCTATGGCTTAGTGGCCACCAAATCTAGCCTGGAAGCCTGACAAACTGGGTTTCTTCCTTTCTGGTTCATCATTTCCAAGGTGATGACTTTGGCTCTGATTTGATTTCCCTGAAAGATGGGGAGAGAGACCACCCTTATGGGTATGACTGACCTGAGAAGGAGGCTTTGTTTCCTTGCATTTTCACAGGATTCCATTAAGAGAAGAGTCAGGATGAGTGCTCACAACCCACCCAGACTTGTGAATTTGGCAGCAATGAGCCTGTTGAGAGATGAGGCCTTGGCCATCTGCTCTTTGGAGTATCTCTCCATGGAGCTCTACCCACCACTATTCATGGCCGCCTTCTCTCTCAGATGCAGTGAGACCCTGATGGCCATGGTACAAGCCTGGCCCTTTGCCCACCTGCCTCTAGAGGGGCTGATGAAGAGGCCTCACCGAGAAACCTTAGAAGCAGTGCTGGATGAACTTGATGTCCTGCTGACCCAGGAGGTTCACCCCAGGTGAGTCTGACCCAGGTAGCCTGGCAGGGTCTTGGGTGTCCTGGAAGGGACTGCTGGTGTCAGGGAGAGTGAATGACCAAAGGGTGGACCAGAGACTTCTGAAAAAGCTCAGAAGCCTTGAGCACTGCTGAGATCACATTGGGAAATACCTTGCAAAAGTGTACTAGGAAGGATGGAAGAGAAAAAGGAGCTGGAGGAAAGTGAGCAAGAGAGGAAAGAGGAAAGACAGAAGGTGATATCAGGAATGTGAAGTAAAAACAAAGATGTGAAATTAGAATGTTGCCTAAATACTGAGGCTGTAGTTTCATTCACTGTGTATTTTAAAGAATCTCACCCGATCTGTTTCCCCATAGGAAGTGCAAACTGCGGGTGCTGGACTTGAGAAATACTGGCCAGGACTTCTGGAACATGTGGTCTGGAGACATGTACCATGTGTTCTCAAGCTCACTGATGGCATCAGTGGCTAAGGACATGTCAAGGACAAAACATCCCTTGGCTCCCTTGGAGATGTACATAAATCTTTGGCTCAAGAAAAAGACCTTGGGCAAATTCCTCAGCTACCTCTTCAGGTGGGAGGAACAGCAAATAGGCTCCATACACCTGTGCTATTATAAGATGAAGATTGTTTCAAGGTCCAAGGAAACTATTGAGAAAGTTCTCAGTATTGTGAAGCTGGACTCTATCTAGGAGGTGGAATTGAATTTCACCCAGAAGCTGTCCACCCTGGCCATGTTTGCTTCTCTCCTGGGCGAGATGAGAAATGTTCAGAGACTCCTTCTCTCCCCGATTCATGGGTCTGTTGCTGAGGAACAGGACCATCAGGCTCTTCTGCAATTTACGTCTCAGATCCTCAGGCTGCAGCACCTCCAGGATCTCCATATGGAAGGTCCAGCTTTCCTCGAAGGCCGCCTGAACCAGATGCTCAGGTAGGAGAACTGCACTGATTGAATAACAGTGAACACAATAGTAAAATATCAAATGCATTGTCTCATTTGCTGCTCTACTGTGACCTGTGGTCACACATAAGCGGAGCAATCAAGGTATGAGAAAACTGGTCTAGAAGCTCTGGAAGGGATATCAGGTTAGGTAGCTACAAATTAGGGGGCATAGATGTAGTGCAGGCATGTATGTGATTTCTTCTTTGAGAAGAGATTTCTTATTTCTGATGACAGGTTAGTGAAGGTGGCATTGACAAGGAAAAACCACATTAGACCTGAGCATTTCTGAAAAGAAACTCTGGTCACTAATCTGGGAACACAATGAGCCTGTCTTAAAGTCCCAGTCCGTAAAGGTGGTCTCATGTTTGATATAATGTAAGTAAGTATTATACAGGAAATGCATGATTCTGGAGATGATGGCAATGAAGCAGAGACAAAAGGAGAGTGAACAATGATAGAAAGTTTGTAGATGATGCCTGGATGGGAGTTGCTGAAGTCTGACAGCCCCAGGGCATGGTGTGGGGTCTCACTGTTTCTATACGTCTTCCATGTGCCTCACCTGGCGAGAGATACAGGCATCTGGAGCCCAAACATGGACTGAAGTGATCTGAATTAAAAGTATGTGTATCTCATTTCCCGGTACTAAAATTAAGTGGTGTCCACACTTGATGGAGACTCTGTCTCAGGCTCTGTCCTGAGCATATTCTAGTGCATTCCATTATCTTCATTCATCCTCCTAAGGAAGTGGAGTATGTTGTACTCTGTCTGATATATAAGTAAAAAGATCTTTCAAGGTTCTTTTAGCTTGATCTAGTCACACATGAAAATGGTAGAAAGAGATTGGACATTCTGGATATTGAGTACTATCAGATGGTAATAGCAACCCTGGCTGTGTGCCAATCATTTACCTCTCATGTGGAGGTCATTTATAACTCTGGTTTCCCTGATCTATTTACTTGTTTTTTTTTTTTCCTCCAGATGCCTGAAGACCCCCTTGGACAACATCTCTATGACCAGCTGCCTGCTTACAGAATCAAACTTGACCCATCTGTCCCAGTGTCCAAACATCTATCAGCTAAAGGGCCTGAATCTGAGTGGTGTTGCTCTGACCAACTTTAGTCCTGAGCTCCTCCAAGTTCTGCTGGAGAAAGTTGCAGGCAGTCTTGAAGAACTGGACTTAAATGTGTGTGGGATCATGGACTCCCACCTGAAGGCTATTCTGCCTGCCCTGAGCCACTGCTCTCAGCTCAGAGTCCTCAGCATGTGTGGCAACCTTGTCTCCATGGCCATTCTGGAGAGCCTCCTGCGTCATACTCATAGGTTACCTGCTTTAAGTCTAGAGATTTATCCTGCCCCTCAGAAGAGTTACAGTTCTCAGTGTATTCTTCACCAGGAGAGTCTTGTCCAGCTAAAGGCTGAGCTTTGGGAGATTCTTACATATTTAGGACATCCCAGGAACATTTGGGTTAACCCCAGCCCCTGTCCTCACTGTGGTGAGGATGTGTGTGGTCATCTGAATCCCAATACATGATGCTGTAATACCCTGCCTAGCTGGTTGCTTCTATCAGAAGGATTTAGTTTGAGACATACGTGTTTGAGTTATTTTGGTGTGCGCAGTTGTAGAAATGATCAGAATTAAAGAGACCTTCCATGTAAATTAATAAATGCTGTCCATGATATTATTCTGATTTCTGTGTTTACGTCTCACGGATCTCTAGTTACTGATGGGGGTCAGGGAAGCACTCTGTTGCCTATGATCTGAAACCATCATTCCCTAGTTGTTTTTTCCCTCCTGATTTCCTTAGTTCTGTGGATTAATACAAACAACAAAGGAAACATACTCAGGGGTCCTCAACAACACATCCTTGTCATGGGTGGGTAGTGACATGTAAATTCCTGTGGAAAAAATACTAAAATCATACAGGTAAGAAGCATGGCTTTATTATGTCTATATCACATTTCAAAAGTATATCTTTTGAAGGCTGTGTGTGTGTGTTAGTCCTTCAGTCATGTCTGACTCTTTGTGACCCCATGGACTGTTGGTTGCCAGGTTCCTCTGTCCATGAAATTCTCCAGGCAAGAATACTGGAGTGGGTTGCCATTTCCTTCTACAGAGACTCTTCCTAACCCAGAGATGGAACCCGGGTCTCTGCATTACAGGCAGATTCCTTACCATCTGAGCCACCAGAAAAGTCCCTTTGAAGTCTAGGTCATGTCAATAAAAATTTCACTTTATTCCCATAACACATATTGGTCTTCCCTATTGAGAAAGATTAGTATAGTATGTTTTGACTTCAGTATATCAGGATGTATAATAAAATGACTGTAATATACAACATGTAATTTATACTTGGCCATCTGTTTCCTCTGCTCCTCACTATCCCATTCAACCAGATGTTGATATCTGTATGTTACAGATCTGTTATAACATATTTATTAGAATTCTCTGAATCTCCTGTCTTACTAGTCTATTATAATGCAGAAAATACTTTCCCTTGCTCCTTCTTCTCATATCTAGATTTGCACTATTACAGATATTCTCTATATGGCTGTAGATGTGATTGATGGTCTCAAGGTGTTTAGCTATGTCAGAAGTCTGGATTCATATTGGTTAGTGCAGGAAACTCTAATTTTATGAAGTAGAAAGACTATAGGACATATAGCTCATTACATTTATAAATTCATTTATAAATTCATAATAAAGAGAGGGGCACAAAACATAAACAATTTGAAAAAAGTTAGAACGAATTGAACAATGTTTAGTAAAATGAGTTGTCATCCAGTACAGTAATACATCAAGCCCACAGGGGAGTTAGCTGGAGAAGCCAAATACTAAAGAATCAGGTAGAAAAAGATAAATGCCTCCATTGTTTACAGAGACATACTTTATGTACTTTTTGCACGTCATAATAAGAGTAAAAAGAAAAGCTTTGTGGAAAACAAAGTTTATTATTAGCATGCATGAGCGCCATTGTGCTGAAGTTGGAAGCATAAATAAGGCTTTCGAAACCAGTTTTTATTTGCTTGTTTGTTTCATGTGTTTAAAATAAGGTACATCTTAGGTTAGTCATCACATGGATGCCTTTTTATCCACTTTCTAGTTTTTTCTTTTACTTATAGGTACCAAAAAGTGGCTTTTTATAAAAGTTCTCTAGGGGTGGGAGAAAGGTTCACGAGGGAGGAAATAAACGTATGCCATGGCTGGTTCACGTTGCTGGACAGCAGAAACCAAGACAGCATTGTAAAAATATTATTCCCCAAACTAAAAACAAATTTTTAAAAAGTGAGATCATATTCTTTGCAACTAATGGAATCTTGAAACAGTAGCATTTGTACAAAAATAAAATTTATATTTTCAAAAGTGAATCAATCTTTTTAAAATAGTTCTCTAAAATTTTCCAATTTAGAAGTTTCTTCAATTTAAGGATTTATTGATGAGTAGTATTTTAATAACACTTTACACTGATAAAGATGCAACAGGCATTCCCACAGGACAGTGCAAATAATGTACCCTTCATAAGCTCTAGAAATATTGCTCCCCAAAAATAGTCTAAGAAAGTGAAAAGGTTTTTTATATAAGTTGATGAAACAAAGGTTAAAATGACAAAGGTCTCTGAAAGTTGGCACAGCCAAAAAGCTGCTCAGTCAGATGTACAACATACATGTACCTTCCTAAAGGCAGTGACCAAGATATCAATACTCAGGGGAAAAAACAAACAAACAAACAAAAAAGCTACTAAGATGAGGTAGAACAATTACATCTCAAAGAAACAGGGAGATAAATGCAAGCTACTCCTAAAAAGACTTTTGTTTAACACAGTTTAGAATTCTGAAAAAATATTTCATCAAGCTGGCTTTTCCTAACTCTGTGTGCAAAATTATCAAACTTAGAATGTCAAAAGAGCCCCATTTGGCCTTCTGGTGTCATAGTCCTAAATAAAGTTTATCTTGAACACATAAACCTGTGTCTGTCTCAGATTTTCTCTGGCGCAACTCCCACAGCTGATGACTGCTCGGGCAGGAAAGGTCCTTCTGAATATCCCTAGATTCCCACATACCAGAGAATGACCAACTTGGAGTCTGGCCACTGTTGTAGATTTCCATATCAGCCCAGGAGCTTTCTTCAGAGAATTATTATTTTTTTATTTTTATCTGATTGATGATTGTTTTACATTACTGGTAAAGAAAACATGGCAGAACACTGTATGACATAAATCATAGCAAAATCCTTTATGACCCATCTCCTAGAATAATGGAAATTAAAACAAAAATAAATAAGTGGGACCTAATTAAAGTTTCTTTTGCACAGCAAAGAAAACCATAAACAAAGTGCAGAGAATTATTTTTTAATTAATTAACTTTTATTTTTGGCTGGGCTAGGTCTTCATTGCCGTGTGGGCTTTCCCTAGCTGTGGTGAATGGGGGCTGCTCTGCTCTTAGTTGCGGTGCTTGGGCTTCTCACTGTGGTGACATCTCTTGTTTTGGAG